GTGTATGTATATATATATGTATATATACATATATATATACATACACTTACTTTATATACAATTCAAAGAATACTTCAGAATCATTTCAAACTACATAATGAGCTACCAGCTACAGGTTTTGCCGTGACTGAGATATATCTAACCCACACATCATCTAACACCAAATGGACAGAGCTCAAAACACCAGTAAAAACAAAAATATTTAAGAATTTCCATGTGCAGAAAAGTTTTTTTTTTTTTTGTACAAAAAAACAGTATCAATATTCTGATATGCACATCTGTCCTAAGGAATTCATAGTTTGCATGTTATTATATAAGTTACAATATATGGAATATTTAGCGTTTCTAAATATTTATTTATTTTATTAATTTTTATCTCTATAACGTTAAATAATGAAAACAGATCTCTGTGTGTACAGTATTCGTGTGGTTCTCTGAGAAGTGGAAGAACTGTCTGTTCTCCTTGGTAATGTTATCAATCACGATGTGTGTAACTTCTACAAACTCACAATTACTGACAGTGCTTAGAATGAATCTGAGCTACAGTAGTCCCTCGCTCTATCGCGGTTTGTGAACGTACAGTTCAAAATATTGTACAAAAATAATAATTATTATTATAAAAAAATGTGCAGGACACAAGATTGTCAAATGTAATATTACTCACATGATTGGGACAGTACAGGATTCAGAAATGTACAGTAAAAAGTTATTAAAAAAATAGAATACTTCGTACAGGTGCTGCAATTTAGTAATTTTCTCTCTATAAGCCTCTACTGTATTCAAGCTCATAACAACCACAGTTCCCCAAAGCCAACAGGGCCCCGCCAAGAAGCCACGTTTCTTTCTGCTGAAAAACTAGAGGTAAAGTTTTGATCTGATCTGAGCGGATGCAGTCAAGCTGCACGGAACCCACTGAACCGGACCAGGACTGGAGCAGAACCAGACCTCCAGATCCATCGGTGAATTTTGAGAGCTGCTAACCCGTCCATGTGGACCTCTGAGTGGGGACGTGTGCCCAAGGTTCAGCAATCCATCTGGAGGTCACCGGGACTTTTTTTCATGTCTTTCAAATGGCCGACGAGGACCTCCACGCTGGTAAGTACAATTTAGAAGTTACAGTACATATAGGTATGTTGTTAAAATTACTAGGTTTAAGAGTTTAGAAAAGTGAGTATGTGCTTTGTTGCTGCAGGGTAGGTCTGCAGAAACAGAACTGAGTTGGACCAGAACAGAGTCAGACCAGAACCGAGAGCTGTTGCTGCTCTGTGGAGCTGGTAAGTAAAATATAGTAGCTAAATATACAATAATGTATGTATGTTGTTAAAAAAAGAATTTAGAACATTGCAAGAGTGTGGGAAGGGTTCATAAAGCCTTTATATGCATGTATATATAAATAATAAAATAAATATAACATAGCTTATTTGAAGAATTTCACTTAGTGCGGGGGGTTCAGAATCAAACCCCCGCAATAAACGAGGGTCTGCTATGGTATATGGACTGCATTTATATCGCGCCTTTCTATCTTATCAAGATACTCAAAGTGCTTTACTACAACCTGTGCCCTCATTTACCCATTCATACAGCACTCTGCAAGATCTCTACAAAGCTAATTAAACAAATCATTGTAAAGAGACTAATCAGAGCTTTATCACATTCATACACCGATGGGACACACATCGGAGGCAATGAGGGATTCAGCGTCTTGCCCAGGGACACTTTGGCATGTGACTGCTGGTGGCTTCAAACCCCCAACTCTTGCATTGGAGGACGACTGCTCTAACCACTCAGCCACATCCACCCTGTATTTTTTTTTGTTTTTACTGTATTGTGAATGGCACACGCAGGAAAGTAAGCCTGAAATGTAACAACTCAAATTGCATAATGAAGAAATACAAAAAGGCAAAACAAGAGTTATGCAGCAGGCTGCAGAAATGAACAACTCTAGCAGTTTGCTACGCTAAGAATTAAATGAAATAAAGCCTAATGAGCACCAAAAATTATATAATAGTCATGATGTACTGTGTGTTTTTCAGTTTTGGATAGTGGAGTTAAGATCTTAAAGATAATTCTGCATTGGGCTGTGAGTCAGGAAATTTCAAACCACAGCAAATGGCTTTCAGGCAGGGCTTTAAATAATTTGGACACTCTGGTTGTGCTGCCTTCTTTAAAGTGACAACTGTGTATGTCTGATCTTTAACAAAAAGTTATTAGATACAATATTCTATGTATTCTGCCAACAAAAACAGCAGGAACTGTTTTGTTGTGATTAAATAAAAATACACCTTTTTATTCATAGAAGCAAAGATAATGAAAAGAGCATTTCAGGTTGAAAAGAACTAATGTCCAGAAGCTGATTGTTATTTCAAAATGTCAACCTCATTAAATGTGGACAATATATATATTGCTTTGAGAGTGGCATCCACATTTCAAACACCCTGAGAAACTGGGTAAAATTATGTTTGTTTGTTTGTCGTTTGTTTTTTTTAAGTGTGGCATTATTTAACCAACTGTATAAAATATTTCCCTTTACAGATGGAACAACCGATTCATGTCCCTATGACAAACATGTATTGAAATAAATAATATTATAATTTTAATAAAATAAAATTGTGAATATTTTTACTTTGTTAAAAGACCCTGGATCTCCCACCTGTAACAATTTATAAATAATAGTTCACAAAATAAAATTCTTCAAGTAAGAAAAATTCCATATAAAGTCCCCCCCCCCCATTAAGTGAACCAAATTTATCACATTTAATGGTTTGCAAAATAAATAGATAAATAATTAAATTATTGCACAAACAACTCAAGATCCATCAACGATTTATTTTTGCTGTATTGTTGTGGTCATTTGGGACCAAAGGCATATTCTAATAATTATACTTGCAAAGGATAGGTGTTTTTGAACTTCTGAAAACAGGCTGAGGCAGCTGTGATACAGACAATTTTACACAAATTTACGTAAGTGCCTCAATGAACCACGTTGAACCGAACATTCACTTCAGAGCATCTCCCCCTCGCTAAACAACCCCACCCCCACACTAGAACAACAACAAAAAATTTAAAAAAGACAAATATATATATATATATATATATATATATAGATTGGTTATTAATTATTTCTATATACACACCTTACTAAATAAAAAAAGCACTTAGTATGTGGTAATTTCTCAGACATGAAGTGATTAATAACCAATCCATCACACTCTCCATCTGATTACAATCAGTGAAGATAAAAAAAATAATTATTATTATTAGAATGTATCATTAACAAACCAGACACCACCTTTCTTATTAAAATGTCTGACGTTTTAATGTCTTTATCTCTATTGCCATAGTTATTTAATGTTGAACCCAATTGTTTGATAACGCATGAAGCCATTAACAAATACATTTAAAAAAAATCACTGAAATGAGTAATATTTCATCAAGTTTATGCTCTTAGTCTTTTTTTTTTTCCTCTATGGTTACTTGAGGTACAACTATTAAACATGCTCAGATGCAGTTCTTATTCAGAAATATAATTTAAGTTGTATAAACTATAATTGGTTTGGTTGTTGTCTCATCTTAGATTCTCTTTCTGCTTTTTCCTCCTTCTGATCTCTTATCTACAACTATTTTTTGTTGAAGGATTGTTCTTCTATTCCTGTTCCATTCTTTGTTAAGAGACTGGTAAATTAAGACTTTGTCTCTATCACTGTTGAGTCCTATTCCACTTCATCCCAATAAAGAAGTTTTAGTTGGACAGTTTGGAACTTACTGGAAGAACATCCTGTGCTACCTCGACAGATGAATCAGATGGAACTGTACAAGAAACCTATTGCTGTTCTCAACAAAGTATAGACCCAATCTAAAGAATAAAAAAAAAAAGGAAGTGATTGTCCTGTCAGTGATCTGAATTAAGCCAATACTGGACAAAACTTACAAATCTGATCTTTGAGCTTTGCTAAGTTACAACTCAATAGTTGTGTAAAAGTAGAAATAAAGCCCATGACTGACCATAAATAATAGAGAAAACGTTGGGGA